AAGCCAACAGGCAAACGAAGTGGGGATATGTCATGTGGGGGAGGTACTAAGAAGGAAAACGCAGGACACACCTAGGACAGAAAAATGTGTAGAGGAGAAGTGTAGAGTTCACAAGAGAACGTGAACTCCGGAAGAAATGAAAACAGTTCTGCATCCACATATTCACACACCGAGACGTGCTGATTCGGAAACTGCTTCTCACTTTCCAGAAGTGTATGTCAGAAACTCCAAGCATGACTTGTCTGGGGAAGAGTGTTGGTGTGGGGCGGGAGGGTTGGTGGGAGGAGACTTGAAGCTGAAGGAGGGCGACAGAGACACCAGAGCCGGCGTAACACGAGCAACGCGCGTCCGAGGGCTGTGACTGTCCAGTCACTGGCACCTTGCACGCCTGATCCTGCAACCTTGAGACACGGCTGCTAGTCAGAGCCGGCTTCTCCCCATTTCCTTTTCATTACTCCGAAGTCTGTAGCCTGCTCATGTGTTATTTTACTATCAACACTGATGCACTTCTGCGTCATTATCTTTCTCATTGTTACAATTTCCTGTATTAAGAAGTTATAGTTCAAAATAACAGTTTTATGGAAAGTTACAGATCAGTGTCTCTGGTGAACGCAGGTACAAAAATCCTTACCAAACGCTACAAGTGGATTAAAAGAACCATAGACCATGGCCAAGTGGGATTTGTCCCGCAACGCAAGGATGGCTTGCCAGTATGTGGGGTTCATCCAGCAACGACGGGAAGATAAACAGCACATGGTCATATCAACAGAGGCTGAGAGCGCACTCACACACGCAGCATCCTATTATGCTGAAACCTTTAGCCAAAGGGGCGCAGGGACGTACAGGCAAACCAGCCATCACGCTCAAGTGACAAGAACATAAAAGCTTTTCATATGAGATCAGGAGAAGACAAAACGTTCACCCTCCCCTCTGCTGTTCAATACGGGGCTGGACGCCCTCCCCAGAGTGGTTAGAAAGAGGATGTAGAAGTGATTCAGGTTGGAAAAGGAGAAGTGAAATGGTCCCTGTTGAAGATGGCACAGTAATACACACAGAAAGACTCCAGCAAAAAGCGACTAGGATTGGTAAATGAATGTGATATCGTAACAGGCTACAAAATTAATGTACAAAACCAGTTCCATTTCCGCACTCAAATAAGGAACTAGCTGAAACAGAAAAGCATCAAAAATAATTAAATATCTTGGAATAATGTAAGACCTGTACACAAAAAAACCATAAACACTGCAGAATGAAATAGAAAAAGACACAAAGAAATGGAAAGTGTGTTCCATGTTCATGGGCTGGAAGAACGAACATATGTGCAGAGTCACTGGGATCCTGTAAAAATCCCAGTGGCTTCCTTCACAAGAAGAACAAAAATAAAAAAACAAAAAACATGAAGTTTGACCTTATAGAAGACACCAAGTAGCAAAAAAAAAAAAAAAATCTCTAAGAAAAAGAATAGGGACCTCCCTCTCCCTGGTGGCTTGGGGGTTTTAGGGGTTCAGTTATTACTGCTATGACCTGAGGTCAGTTCCTTGCCAGGAAAAATTCCCACAGGACGCAGCAGACCCCTCGTGTCTTCCTGTGGCTCCCCCAGCAGTGTGTTTCAGTCAATCCATCTGCTCTGCTCCCCACTCCGTCTCTGGCGAATCCTTTTACACCCTCACACCTCTGGCCAAACCAGTTCTTCTACACAAAAATAATTTTTTTTTAAAGTATGGGGGGGGAGGCAAAAGTAGTGGCATCATGCTCCCCGATGCCAAACTATTCCATAAAGCTACAGTAATTAAAACAGTTTGGTAATGAGATAAAAATATACACACAGAAAATGGAACAGAACTGAGAGCCCAGCAATAAACCAACAGAGAGATCACCACTTCATTGCCAGGTAGCCAAGAACTTACAATGGAACAAGGAAAGTTTCTTCAATAAAAGGTGCAAAGAAACGGACAGTCATTTGCCACCTCCGCTCACCAGTCAGAATATTAGCTAACACCGTACACAAAAATGAACTCCAAGGTCTGGAACCAGAGGTGCACTCAGGCGTCACGCTCCTCGGCCCCCGCTCAGACGCGGCTTTGGGGCCTCGACGCCCACGCCAAGTCAAGGCAAGTAGGGGCGGCAGCGGGCAAGTGGGAGCACCAGCCAGAGGCCCTCAGAGGGGACCCCGGGGTCACACACATGTGACTGAAGTGGGCACGTCCTGCGCCAGCAGGTGTTAACATACAAACAACTCCTGAAACCAAACAATAAAAATCATCCTGATTAAAACCCGGACTGAAGATCTGAATAGTCGCTTTGCCAAAGAAGGCAGGCAGGCGCCCACTCGAGAAGCTGTTCAGAGACACCCATGGAAGCCACAGCAGCCCCCTCCCCCCTGGAAATGCCCCTGTGAGGAGGCAGCAGTCCCGGGGTGGGAGGGAGGGAGCCCTGCACACCGGAGGGCTGGACACTGCTGAGGGGGGGGGTCTCTGAACTACAAGTAGAAACCCGAGACCCAGATGCCCCCCTCCAGGTAAATGCAGATGCCTGCACCCCGCTACCTTTGCAGCGCCATTTAAAACCAGAACTGGAAAGCACCCGGTCTTCTGAGGGTGGGTGGGAGAGGGGCCCCACAGTGGACACTGAGGGGTGACACGCAGTCCTGTTGGGGCTTGCTTGTGGCCGGGCTGAGGGGTCCTGAGCAAGTCAGGCAGAGAGGACAGGCGCCCCAACCCCGCACTCACTGTGGGGAGAAGCTGCCGCCGGTCCACACCAGACGCCCTAAGCAAGGGGCAAGGGCAGCAGGAGGGGCTTCAGTCGGGACTCTGACCAGGGACGCTGCGGCCCTCGCTGACCACAGCCACTATCGCTCCCCGTGGAGGGCGGGAGACTGGAAGGGGAGGCCCAGTGCTGACCAGCGCCTGGGCAGAGGGGGCGCCCGCCGACTATTTGGGGGGCAGCGGGGCATCAATATGCCCACTGGTGCCCCCGGGGCGTGACCCCTAGGGCAGGGCAGCCTCTTTGTGACTGTTCATGAAAGAAAATTTCACACCATGGTCACATGAGGACCGATAAGGAAAGGGGGGCGCCCTGCAAAGAAGGGGAGAGGCCGAGAGCTGAGGGCACCCCCAGCAGGTGCTCGCGCTGAATTTTAAAAACCAAGAAGTCAACACAGCTGGGGGCAACGCACAGGGTGTAAAAGGGCTTCAGAGAGGACCTGGGTGGGCCTGGAGGGACCTGCCCGGGCCGGGCCCCGGACAGGAGAGCGGGCGGCAGAAGGGCCCGGCGGGCAGACACAGCCGCGGGCGGCTGGCGGACTGCGGGGATGGGCGGGAGGCGCCTGGACGCTGCGTCTCCTACTGCAGGGCCCGGGGGACCCAGCCCCTGGCTCCGGGGCAGGGAGGGCAGCGCCCCTGGCCCCGCGCACCGGGTCAGGACACAAACAAGTGCTCCTAATTGGCCACCAGAGGCCGCGGGGTCCCAGCGCAGGCGGTGGGGAGGGGGGGCCCTCGGCGCTGTCTCCCAGAGCAGAGCAGGAGCAGCGGCCAGACCCCGCGCCCGCCCCGGCCCCGCCGCCGGCAGCGCCTCCGCCCGCTGCTCCCAGCGCAGCCAGTGGGGAGACTGCGGCGAGCGGAGTCCCCGCTCGCCGGGCTCAGGCAGGTGCTCTGCGGACCTGGGGCTCCGTGCGGAAGTCTGGGAGTCCACCCACCTGCCCAGCCCAGAATGGGCTCAGGCTGGCAGTGAAACTTGAATGGACTGTCCTCCCGCAGGACTGACCGCGTGCCGACGTCCAGGAGTCCCCACTGTGCCGGACAGGGAGACGCAGCGTGACAGCAGCCCGCCCCGCCCCGCCCCGCCCCGCCCCGCCCAGCGGCCAGCTTGTTCTGCAGGTGCCAGAGGCGACCCAGCCCTGGGGTTCCGGCACCCTTGGGCGGCAGGGGTGACCCAAGAGCCTGAAGGGACTGGACTGCTCTGGACACTGTACCCGGAACTGCACTAGCCCTCACCGGACAGCAGAGCAGCCTTGGTAACAGGGGCGCCCACTCCTCCCGGGCCCTGAGGGTGGGCGCTGGGCGGGCGGTCAGAGGGTAGAGGGCTCCTGAGGGTGGACAGTTGGGGACGCTGCCGGCAAGGTGCCAGGGCCACATGTCAGGCATTTAGCGGCCTCCACCTCCGTGCCAGCCCAAGCTGTCTCAGGGTGCCACGCCTGGCCTCGGGCGTGCTTGCTGGGTCCGGTCTCCCTGAAAGGAAAGCGCCCCTGCAGAAAACCTGGCCGGTCCGAGCCCCTCCAGGCACCGCTGGCCGGAGGGGAGGGGCACCCCTGCGCTGAGACACCAAGCTGCTGCCCGCGCAGGACTCTACCCTGAGTCCTGTATCTGGCTGCCCCGCAACTGGCACTGGCCTGTCCTCGGATGGTCCCCCAGACCCAAAGAGCCCCGTAAGGGCCCCCTGGTCCAGATCCCGAGACCTGTTGATGGGGCCCACGGTGGGCAGGGGGCCAGGAGGACAGACGAATAGGCCCACTCAGCCCGGTCAGACTGGCCACGCCCAGCCTGGCTTCAGCCCTCACCTGCCCCAGGCCGGTCAGCAGGACACAGCAAACACGTTTCTGCGTGAATCAGTGACTGGCCCGGACAGGCACAGTGGGGCGCCCAGGAGGGGACCCCAGAGGGCAGGCGGGCACTGTGGTCTCCCAGGCAGGCCCACCTGCACCCCGGCCACCGTCCAGGCCCCCCAGGCCCCAGCCCAGGCGAGATCAGCAAGGGCAGCAGGAGGGGCTTCAGTCGGGACTCTGACCAGGGACGCTGCGGCCCTCGCTGACCACAGCCACTATCGCTCCCCGTGGAGGGCGGG